TTTTTTTTTTATGGATGGGCGCTTTTTATTTAACTTCTTTTGGACTGATGCATGCATCACCCGCTGAGTGGCATTAAACAGCTTGAAAGATCAAAGACAATTTTTAATATAACTCTGACTGGATTCGTCTGAAAGAAGAAAGTCATATACACCTAGGATGACTTGAGGGTGAGTAATTTGTGGGCTAATTTTAATTTTTGGGTGAACTAACCCTTTAACTAGTATTAAAAAGGAAGATATAATCGGTTCACATGCTGCTTGACTTGAGACAGCTACAGCGATCTGTCACGCCACATTATAGAGCATCAAAACCACATTTATTGTTAGTATGTGATTAAAATTGACAGAATTTTTAAAGCTGAAGCTTTGTTTCATGTTAAAAGTAACAAAGCGCTAATTAAACCACCGTTTAGCTTAATGATTTCAGCTCTTCAAAACTATTTGAATTTTTGGTTGCTAAAATGTGTTTATGGTGTTTGTATGATACACTGGGTACATGTGTTTAGGCATATTTAGGGAACAAAATTGTCCTTAGAAGCTTGGTAAATCTGACAAAACTTCTGCATTGATAAACCATATTTATAAATAAATAAGAATGCTTTTTGTTTCTTAAAATGCAAAAAGTTTCCTTTTAGAGCTGGGGTTAGCTAGCAATCATAACTGACTTTATTAAAAACAATGTAAGTGTGTTGTATGTCCTAAGAATGTACTGTACATGCACAGATATGTTGCTGGTATGAAAAATCAGCACCAGGAAATCATTATGCTCTGTTTTGTGTGGAGTTAAATAATGATCAAGGAAGCATATTTGTGACACAGAAGAAAAAAATAAATCATAATGACCTGTTTTGCATTTCGGGAAACTCTGTATGTACTAGTGCATTTTATAAATGGAACAACATGGATGCTGGACACCCGATTTAAACAAAAAAAAAAACTACATAAAATGCATATTTTTAATTGAATCTAATTAGGGATAAGATTGAAAGTGTGTTTGGTGTGATTGACAGTGTGTAAGTTAATGCTTTCCCTCCTGTTAAAGATTAATGTGAACATGGAATCAGTTTCAGTCTATCTGGAGAAATCCTAAACCATCAATGGCTACCTAATGTCAATGTCCTGGATCGAATACACACACATGGTCCGCCAGATGTAATTAATTTATTGGCTACTTGACTAAATATTTACTCTTTTTGTCTTTCAGGTGTAACCGTCCACAGTGAAAACGTTGCTTGGGCAAAAGCTGCTGCTCGACATGCGGTAAAAACTGACACTTTGACTCCTTTTGTTTCATGTTTCATTAACGGAGACCAGTTATAGTCTTGGAATTAAAATGATTTTCAATTTTTAAATTCAGTTTTGTTTAAAAACATGACTCTTAGCAGCCAGAGGTTTAAATAATATATTGTGTCAAGAAAAAGATTTGTCATGGCTGACATTTCTTCTTGTTCATTTCAAAGTGAATGGTCAAGTTAAACAAATAATTCAACCAAAAACGAAAATTTGCTGAAAATTTACCCATCCCCAGGCCATCCAAGATGTTTATGAGTTTGTTTGCAAATCGGAACAGATTTGGAGAAATTTAGCATTCTATCACTTGCTCAACAATAGCTCCTCTGCAGTGAATGGGTGCCGTCAGAATGAGAGTCCAAACAGATAAAAACATCACAATAATCCACACCACTGCAGTCCATCAATTAACATCTCGTGAAGTGAAATGTTGCATGTTTGTAAGAAACAAATCCATCAAGACATTTTTTTAATTTAAACCGTCAGGCTAAAATATGAGTCCTCAATCCACAATATTGCATTCTCCAGTGAAAAAATCGCCTCGTCTGAATCAGGAGAGAAATATGCACAGATCAAGCACTGTTTACAAGTGAAAACTGTCCAAAACCGTTCTAAACAAATATGACAGTGGATTTTAATGTGAGAAGAAAATGGTTTACTTTTTACATTACTTGTGGATTATTGTGATGTTTTTATCAGCTGTCTGGACTTTCATTCTGACGGCACCCATTCACTGCAGAGGATCCACTGGTAAGCAAGTGATGCAATGCTAAATTTCTCCAAATCTGTTCCAATGAAGAAACAAACTCATCTACATCTTGGATAATCAGAAGGTGAGTAAGCTTTCAGAAAATTCTCATTTTTGAGTGAACTGTTTCTTTAAGTACTTTGCATTGTGGGATATGGTATTCCATGCAACATCCCCTGGTTGTATACTGCAAATGTAGTAGGTCATTCTGGTATTCCATACATACAGAAAATGTACATACTGTAGAAATAAAAATATAATGCTCAAAAATGTTGTCTAGGTAGTTGCAGAGTAGATTTTGAAATGCAAACGAAATCCAGAATGCTGCTAGAATGCAGAAGCATGAACAAAAATTCTGTGTGTTTTTTTTATGTGTGTGTCACAGGCTCATGATGATAATCATGATAAAGACATCTGGAAACCAAAAAACACTCAACAGACATGGAGGGTGGAGGTAATGATATGGCCACAATGACAGAAACACACATGGATAGCATTATCATAGTGTCCAAAAATATGGTTTTAAGATTATGCATACCCAAAAACATGGTATTGCCATGGCACATCTTCAAAAAGCATAGTATTTCCTTGGTATGTGCCCAAAAAACCAATACCATGGTATTTTTGGTACTTTGTTAGTGTAGTAGTTTGTAATATTTCTGTCACTCAGAGTTCTGTATGCATGATCTGTTAATGTGCATATACTGTAAAGATGATGGTATTAAGCCACATGAGTATGTCGCCCACGGCTCTTTCTGTGTGTCTTCAGCAAGAGTTTTGGTGTCTTGTTAAATTTAGCAAGACTCTGCGTGTCTCTGGTGTCCCTGTACTATTTTAAACATTACACATGAGCTCTACATTTTTGTTCATTTTGTATGTTTGTTAGTAATTAAAAGTGCTTCAAAATTATTTCAGCACTATAGAAAACATGTCATTACTACACTTTTGAAACTGTATTTTAATGTTTATTAAAGTGCAGTGTCTTACCCCACAAGTGCATAATGTAAACTTGGGTTTTCCTTGTTTTTACAGTCTGATGGATGAAATATATTTTAATGGTATAGACTATTGGAATATAAAAATGTGTTCATTTGTATATATTTGTGTGTTGTATGTTTGCTGCAGTATAAAGGAATGGCGAATCTTCACATCTTTGAGGACTGGTGTGGCACATCTATAGCTCAACTACGGAAGAATCTACATTATCCACTATATCCTCACGTAGGTGTTATATCTGTACAGATGACATATCTGCCATATATACACTAACATTCAAAAGTTTAGGGTCAGTAATATTTTTAAACAAATACTTTTATTCAGCAAGTATGCATTAAATTGATCAAAAGTGACAGTAAAGACATTTACAGTTGCAAAAAATTTATCTATGTTTTTATAGAATTATTAGACAGCACAGCTGTTTTCAGCATTGGTATAAGAATTTTTTTCAAATCCGCATATTAGAATGATTTCTGAAGGATCATATGACTGGAGTAATGACTGCTGAAAATTCAGTTTTGCAATCACAGGAATAAATAACATTTTGAAATATATAAAATTTTAATTTGTAATAATATTTCACAATATGACTGTTTTTACTGTATTTTTGCAATTGGGACATTTTGAAAAATAAAAATGTGAAATGGGTTTTAATGTCTTTTAGGCCATGTCTGTTAGAATTGAGGACATTTCTGAAAAAAGTTGACAAAATAACCTTTTTTTCACATATATACATTTCATGCTTTTTATTTTAATAAATTTAAACCGATACATTTACTCAAAATACTGCTAGAATAGACCCAGGTTGTATATGTGAATAAAAAAAGTACTAGCAAACAAACTAGTATACCTACTATAAAAAGATCAAGCATGTTAACAAACAGTGCTACCCTAGTATTTGTTTGCATTGCATTTGATATGTTTTTATCTCTGTAGAATCGTACAACTGTGAAGAAGCTTGCTGTGTCGCCCAGCTGGACCAATTATGGACTCAGGATATTTGGATACATACATCCTTATACTGATGGTCTGTCTTTCTCTCTTTCTCACACACACACACACACACACACGTTCAGATTGTGTGCCATTGTCCCACTGTTAATCCTCCCCTTTGTTTGGCAGGTGACTTTCTTTTTGCAGTGGCGTCTGATGATAACAGTGAGTTTTGGCTCAGTGATGATGAGAATCCAGACAATCTGAAGCTCCGCGCTTACGTTGGAAAGGTTTGTGAGACAGAGTGTCAACTTTACAATTACTTTAATTCAGATGCGTGAAATGCATACACTTAATTTTGTGATTCCTGCATTTTTAGACAGGCAGAGAATGGACCGCCCCAGGGGAATATGGGAAATACGCCAGTCAGATATCAGATCTCATTCCGTAAGTGAATGCTGTGTTTGTGTTTCATAATGCTTCAGGGAGGTGCTCACACATCTCTCCATGTTATGACCACATAACTCGATAAAAAACAATTTTTACATTCAATATGTGTAGACTCACAAGCTGCTGCTTGTGTCCTGATTCTGGTCATGGCACAATGTGGGAAATCATTAGAAGTATTTGTCTGTTGTAATATGATTTGTAATAGTGTGTGTGTGTGTGTGTGTCTAACAACTGTTGGCCAAGATTACATTTCAGTAACATACTTTAAATTAAACAACAAAAATCAATTATGTATCTTTAGCTCAAATCACACAAAACAAGGCAGATCCAGCTAATGTGCATGCACATTCAACAGTAAACAAAACGTGATTTTAAAATGTGATTTCAGAATCAGAAACATTGCTGTAGGCAGTATGGATCAAATTCATCGAGATGTTAGGCTCTGATATTATTAGTCTGAGAAAGTTACAAAACCACTTTAGTTGGGTCTCTGAATCTTTTGTAATAATTTTAATAAAATACATTTTTATAATATATGTATAGTATAATATATGATAGTATATCATATCATAGGATATGATAGTATATGATAGGATGTGTTTAGAATGGAAGCGTAGATGTACATCAGTTTAATAATTGTTATATGCGTTTGTCTTTTTTATTACTTAAAAAAACTTTAATAAATAACTTGATTTAAAGGGATAGTTCACACAAAAATGAAAGTTCTGTCATCATTTACTCACCTATAAGTTGTTCCAAAACTGTATTAGTTTCTTTCTTCCGTTGAACACAATTAAGATATTTTGAAGAATTTGTGTAACAGTTGACGGTAGCCATTGACTTCCATAGTATGGAAAAAATACCATGGAAGTCAGTGGCTACCACAAATTCTTCAAAAAATCTTCTTTTTCATTTTTGCATGAACTATCCCTTTAACTGGAAAAACATTACATGATTACACAAGTTTTTTTTAAATTTAATTAATCATTATTTATTTATCAATTAAATGACATTATTTTAGTATAATATATTATAGTATATAATATATAAAATAAAAAATATAAATACTTGATTTTTCATTAGAATAGTTCATGTATTTCTGTTTGTTTTTTTTTACTAATTTCCTATTTCCTAATTGTATTTGTTTAAATTATTTTGTTTTATTCTGATGTGTCTTGTCTTTGTGGTAAAGCATATTGAGAAAGCAACTTTTAATGTCACTATAAAGAAAAAAAAATATTTCGAATAAATAAAGAAAAAAATATTTAAATTGATTGATTTATTAATAAAGTAAATAGAGTCAATTTCATGTTATCTTTTAATGTAAAACTTTTGAGTTGCATTAGATGCTTTATAAAAAAAATTCAAAGATCTGATGGTGTTCATGCCAAAGTGGTAAAATGTCACTTTTTTTTTTTTTTTTTTTTTACAGTCTGCAAAAGAACAATAAATATTTCTTTGAGCTTATCCACAAACAAAACGATAAAGGAACAGACCATGTGGAGGTTGCGGTGAGTGTGTTTACTGAGGGTGTTTGTGTATGATTGTTGTACACTGTTATGACACTGTCTTTACTTACAGTGGCGCCTCAAACAGATCGGGAATGGATTTTCAATCATTGATTCCAAGTTCATCTCCCTCTACACCAGTGAGTGAGTGTGTGTGTTATTTTGGGATGTGGTTGCAGAAATGTCAGGGTAGTGTTAGGTCGCCTGGAATAGCTGCTCCTGTCCGCACACGCCCTGAAATAGAGCTAATGATGGGGTAGTCGCCACTGTGCAAAGTGTGTGTGTGTGTGTGTGTGTGTTGTTGTCATATTGCTTCAGCTGAAGTGTGTCAATACAGGCCTTTGCATTCATTTTTGTATAAATGTTTATGTAGTTCTAGTGAGAAACTGTGCTTTTGTGTCTTCTGACTGCTAGTTTGGTGATGTGTTTGCATTAGTTATTGTTAACTAAAACTAAAATTTGTTTTTTTATTATTTTATTAAGTATGATTTTCATTAATTTAAAAACAGCTGAAATAAAAAAAAATAACAAAAAATATTAGATGAAAAACTTAAACAAAAAATTGAAATATTGCCTTGACAATTAGCTGAAATAAAATAAGTTTGTTAAAGTATTAAAATTACTTAAACTGAAATTAAATATAAATGAAAGCTAAATAGAAATATATATAAAAAATATAAATGACAAAACTGCAATATAAAATTAAACTAATATTAAATGAAAACTGAAATTGGTATGTTTGCAAATACTAGTTTACATATAATATTTAACATACTTTAAAAAAAAGTAGTCATCTCAGAAATGTTGCATTTTTAATCAAGTCTAAACTTGAACAGTCTACATACTAATTAGCATGGTAGTGTGCTTTCCAAACTGATTACCTAATTTTTGTATGTCACAGTTTACACACAGTAAAACCAGCTCTGCTGTACCAGGCCTAATTGTATGTGTGTGTGTGTGTGTGTGTGTGTGCACAGATGAGTCCTCTCTGAAGGCAGCAGATGTCAATCACATTCCTCAGACCATTGCCAGTCATGTGACTCCGCTCCAGAGGTCATCTCAGACTCCGCCCCATGGAGTAGACATGCTGAGAGCAGATCCACGTGACTCGTTTCATCAGGGTGAGAAATTCAGGCACAAACTCATTTACTCAACACCCTTTTCATAGTCAAAATAAACATAATACGCCAACAATGCAGACATTCTCGGCTATTAAACACTGAACTTAACTCGTTAAAGGGAAACCCTCAGGGCGTTCCAAACCCACATGCAGATATTTTTTAGTGGAAGTAAAAGTAAAGAATATTTACACAACTCTTTTAATACATTGATGGTTCATGGTAACCATGTCTGTCAAAACGGTCCAAAATGGACAGTGTGTACGTAATATAACTGCACACAGAATATATGTATACAGGTTTGAAAAATGAGAGTGAGGGAATATAGAATTTTTTAATTAAGTGGACCTGGCAGATGATGAGAGTTCGGTTATAATAAATACTACATCATTGTCATCTGCACTTCTTGTTATTATTTCCCTCACTTTATATTATGTTTGGTTCTTGTCTGTAGTTACTTGCTAGTTTTGTGATGTATTGATTTTCAGACAAAATCTACAACAGATCTTAAAGTTGCATGTGCATGTGTACAAGCACTTCTTAAAACATTGGAATATATGCAGACAGAACATGAATTCAGTGCCACCTTGTGGCATAGAGACATTTGCGCAGTGATTCTTAGCCTTTTTGACTAAAAAAGGGCCTTGTTGTCCAACACAATATTCTATGGTCACCCCCAACCCCATGTTCTATATAATATTTTTGTTATTTCTGCTGCAATTATGACAAAGCTACTTTTTATTAACAGAAACTCAGAATCTTACAATTAATTACATTACTTTAATTAAATTAACCACTCTCCATTTTGTAATTTCACAAGTTTTAAGAACTGTATTCATGTGTTCTTTAATAAAAACAGTAATACTAATATTAGTAATGATACTAGTCATTTAAAAATAAAGAACCACTGCATTAGATGCTTCAGTTTGTAGAATTAATACATTTAAGTATTAAAGGGGTCATATGATGCGATTGCAATTTTTCCTTTCTCTTTGCCCCCACTGGATACTACAAATGCCTCGTTTGTAATGGGTTTTATTGGTTTTGTCTCGTCGCACCGGGACACGGCATCACAGTATGGTAGGGGTGTAACATTTCCGTCACACGCTTGAGGTATTCGGCCAATCACAACGCACTGAATAGCTGGCCAATCAGAGCACACCTCGCTTTTCAGACCGATGAGCTTTGTAAAAATCGACGCGTTTCAGAAAGGCGGGGCATAGAGGAGAAACAATAATGTACAGTATGTGGAAAATAATGTGTTTTTTTA